TAATTTTAGGCATTTTATTAAACTTATATATACTCTGTATATATTTTTATTTCAAAACATTAAAATACGTTGATTTTAAATTATGAAATTAACTTAATGACAAAATAGTTGAATTGTTTTACCAAAACGAAGAATCTTCGCATTTGCCATGACACATAGCTTCCAGGGCCTCTCTATCCATGTGCCAAAGGGATGCGAACATACACTTGTTAATTATTCACTACACATATTATTCACTATTTTAATTTCTTATCACTAATTACTCAACAGAATACAAACACAGATTAATTCTATACATGGGATTCACACACATAGGCTCTCTCTCTCTCTCTCTCTCTCTCTCTCATATTTGACAATGAATCATCGGTAATTAACTAGATTTTCTTGATTTCAGATGTGATAAATAGGAAAGATAATGATTTAAACTTTTTTTAACATTGTAGTCATATTAATCTTTGAGTCTTAAATATGTAAAGAATATTGGAAAAGCCGAACAAATTTTTACTCAGTGGACAATACTTGCATCAGGTTGTTTATATCCATTATATTAAGTTTGTCAAAAACACATGACCATGTGTTTTATTTTTAAAATATTAGTATTTAATAACATTTAATTATAAATTTACATAAAACAAAAAAGAACACATGACTGTGTATGATTAGAGAACATGTGACATTTCTTATTCAAGATATAAGCATCAAATTTTTGAAGGGCCTTGATTTTTTTTATAAGCATCACTATTTTAAATTTGTCTGATCATTTAATATTTTTTTATTTTTATCCGTAATTAATTTTTCATCTATTTTTTCTACTCATTCTCTCTACCACTTACCTCTCCACTAAATAGCCTTGTTTTATATATTCATTATATTTAACCAATTTTAACTAAATTTTTTTATATATTTATTATATTTAACCAATTTTAACTAACTTTTTGAATTATAAGCAGCAATTTTTTGCATATAAAATCCTAAGTACTACTTTTTTATGAATTTAAAATAGTATACATTAATATTTCAATATTATAAGTGAGGTTCAATCCAGAATATTTCACTTATATGGGGAGATTTCTACCATTAAATTATAAATTTATTGACTTTAAATAATTTGCTTCATAAGAATCGATGCTGCTTGAAAGATCTTTCGGTTTCACTTAATAATAAATGCTAGAACTTCCCTTTGAAATTAGTGGCTTTTATACTATTATATCTCTAAGCATCGATTTGGGTGTGGTTAATGCTTCCTGTGACACTTGTCTTTAAATAATTTGCTTCATAAAAATCGATGCTGTGAGATCAAAGTTAGGTTATAACTTTGCATTGAACTTACACAAAGAGACACAAACATAAATGGGTTTCCTTTCATCCATGTGAATATTCGAGCCAACAAACATTCACGTTGAATATATATCTAAAATGGGGCTTGGTCCAAGTTAGGGTTTTCCACAGAGATTTTAATTTTAATTAAATTAAATACATACACAATAATTAAAATGCTTGTTGACACTGATCTGATAAAATATTTAGCTGCTAGATGTTGCAGAATTCCCCACTTGAATTATATATATCAATATATGAAACGTGAAAAGGAAGAAACTATGGAGGAAACAGATGATTCCCCACTATAATTTGCTTTTAATAATACTCTCTCCGTTTCTTATTATAAGAGACAAATAACCAAATTACGTTGATAAAAAAAATAGTTAAAATTAGTTAAGGACAATTAATATGTAAAAAGTATAATGTTTTTTCCAACAATGCCCCCATTAATAAGGAGAGAGAGTATGAGAGGGAACAATTAAATTATTAAAAAAAAAAAGAGAAGTGGGAGGGAGAGAGAGTATGAGTTGGAGACAAAATAAATAGGGATAAAATAGAAAATCAATACAAAAAAATAGAGACAACTTTTAAGTGTCTCTTATATATGAGAACATACCATATGCATCAAATGTCTCTTATAATAAGGAACAGAGAGAGTAGCTATATCTTTAGCCCATGCATGGCATGGAGTTTTAAAATATAGCTTGGTATATACTGCCTCAACTTAAAACTAATATAATTCCCACTTTCAGAGTTTAAAGATGCATTAATTATTTTCCTAAGAATTTTACCCTTCAACAAATTAAATGAAAAGTCTTTTCTAGAAGATTTTTTTATAATTAAATAAGGGTATTTTAGTGTTGGCAAAAAATATGGATATTTTATAAAATACCATTACATTTCCTTGTTAAAATTTCGATTATTAATTGGCTTTCTTGGGTTGTATGTACAACTTCAAAGTGACGATTATTTTGGAAAAAAGGTAGTACTGCCTCCTGCCCTCTTATATACAAATATATTTTTATGAGAAGAATACTTACATTAAGTTCTTTATACTCATTGTATTAGGTTTTCTAATCACATATGACCATGTGTCCTATCTTTCTTTTGGTGACAACTATGTCACCTATTTTTGAAATATTAACATTTAATAGCATTTAATTATAAATTTTTAAGAAACAAAAAAGGATACATGACTATGTGTGATTCAAAAACTTAACACAATAGATATAAGGAACTTGACCTAATTTTTTTCCTTTATAAAAGCAAATTCAAATTGCTTATTACATTTATTTTTAAGAAATGCCATTAATCGCTCCACGTGTTTTCTGCTTAAAGTCAATTACTTAAGTGGAAATTGACTAATTAATTAGGTGGCAAAAGATTAAGAAACTGTTGTACCAATAATTCTTTAAATGTAATTATGAAGTAAAAGATATGCTCCGATCCCTTCTTTCCTAATTATAAGTCCAAGCTTTTCTGAATACACAAACCAAGGAAATAATGAAATCTAGTTTATTAGTAAAAATTTGTTTTCCTCTTCAATTTTGCCTCAGTTTCTTTGACCAGCAAGTTTTGCCTCAGTTATTGTCATTGAAAAGTGCATCATCTTCATTAAGCAATGCAGGTAATTTTGATCCATTTTAATTCATAATTTAGAAAAAGTATTTTAATTACAACTAAAACGAAGTAATAAGAACCATATTTAATGCTACTTACTGAAGTATATTACTCCCTCCGTTCCTTATTATAAGAGACAAATAACCGAAGTACGTTGATCAAAAAAACAGTTAAAATTAGTTAAGAACAATTAATGTGTAAAAAGTATAACTTTTTTCCAAAAATGCCCTCATTAATAAGGAGAGAGAGCATGAGAGAGAATAATTAAATTATTAAAAGAAAGAGAAGTGGGAGGGAGAGAGAGTGTGAGTTGGAGATAATAAATATGGGTAAAATAGTAAATCAACACAAAAAAGTAGAGACAACTTGTAAGTGTCTCTTATATATAGGAACATGCCATAAGCATCAAATGTCTCTTATAATAAGGAACGGAGGGAGTATTAGTCATTTAATTTTATACTAGATTTCGTTTTCGTCTCCTTAATTTTTAAAAGTATAGTTTTGGTTCTTTAAACAAAAATCATTAAAAAAAAATAATGATATTGAAATCTTAAATGTTAATAAAATATTTTCAAATGCTAACATATTAAGTTTAATTTTCAAAATAACCATGGTTGTTATAAAAAAAAAGATCATTTAAGACTAACAATTTTAGAGTTAAATGACTAAAAATATACATTTTAAAATTAAGGGATCAAATTGAAATCTTGTATAAAATTAAAAAACCAAATATATAATTTTTCCAAAAATTTAAAGCATGGTTTGCAATTAAGAATGTTTCCAAATTTGCCCCTAATTAAATGACCATCATTAAGATAGGAGCAAAGTTAATTAAACATTGTGGTGAAAAAAAGTTTAATTAAACATTAATAATAGGGGAATCTCAATAAAAAAATTAAGTTTTTTTACCATAAAAAAATGAAATTATTACGAAGATGAACTTATTTTCTTAAAAATCGCGCAACAGTTGCAATGTGCTCATAATTAATTAGCATAGTATTAAAACCCAACATGGGTCGACTGATCAAAACAGTGAATCAATGAACGAGTCTCCTAATCGATCAAGAGTTTTGGGTGAGTCAATTGGAATACTTCAGGGCCAAAAAACAGGAAAAAAATTTGGAATGGTATTTATATATTATTTCATTTCCTAATTGAGCCTAAAATAATATCATTTTGATCTTAAAACAAATAACCGTCCATCATATTTGTGTTATAATAACTGTATTTTATACATAAATATTTTATTTACTTATGGACTGTAATGTCATGTTATTTAAATATTATTTTGATTATGACTGGTTTGACCCTGAGTTAACCTAAATTCAAACCAATGACCCTTGAACCACTGTTCCAATCAGTAAATTTATCTGTCCAATTTTCAATATCTTATGATCAACTATGAAGGAAATATAAGCCATAGAAAGTATTTACTTGCTAATTTTCTATTGATATTTTCTTTTTCATTGCACGTACGTAAGAGTATAGACTACGTTAGGTCGTATTAGAAAATAAAAGAGTGGAATGTGGGAGTGGAAACTGCACAGCATATTGCATGGTTCGCCGACCCATCACGCGCCTTGGCGGTGGTCAACTCTTATCTAGTCTCCACATATATTTTTCTTTTCAATGATGATGATGATAATAATAATTATTGAATGCTATGTGATTCAAACTATATATTAATTCTTAGCGTTCATAGGTAAAATCATTATTTTGAATTCCCACTCGGGTTACAGAATATACCTACCCGATTCTGTCCCTGATTATTTGACTTAACTGTCCTTCATGATGGCTACAATTGTAAATTTATGTGTGAACTATGAAGCCCTCTTCTTCTTTAGTACAGCTATATGCATAGTCTCTCTCTAAGAAGTTAATTAATATTAATTAATTAATAAAACACATTTATTATTGATTATTGATTAATTTAGAAGATGGACATGTGCGTCTGTATTCTTCACTAGGCAAGCAACATCTTGCACCGTTATAAATAAGCACGTTCTGGTTCATTCACTTCAAAGCTTTCGTTCTGTTCTGTTCTGTTCTGGAAGAGAAAATCGAAGCCTTTGCGATCTCAGATAATAATGGTAGGCTCTTCTCCTTGTGCTTCCTGCAAATTGCTACGACGTCGCTGCACCAAGGAATGCATTTTTGCTCCTTACTTTCCTTCTGATGATCCCCAAAAGTTTGCCATCGTCCACAAGGTGTTTGGCGCCAGCAATGTCAGCAAAATGTTGCAGGTTTCCTCTCTCTCTCTCTCTTCTTTCTCATTAATTTCTCTGCAATTGAGTTTATCAAAGAGCATACTCCGAATTGAAGCTGCACCATTTTGAATCATGATTTATGAAATAATACAGCTTACTGTAGATCTTATATCTAATACTATATTTTGAATCTGAACAAAACACCTTTGGATCGAGTCAAAAATAATATTCTATCCAGTATTAGATGTAAGAACTAGTGTACTGGTTGTAGTACGTTTAGTGGTACAAGATGCACTTATAGCAAGTTTGGCCCTACTTATAAACTTGGACCATTACAGTACCTGCATCTTGGCAAAAAATGTAGAAATGTTTGCTTTGGTTTTCAATAAAATCTAAAACTCCAATCTCTTTTTTTCTCCCAAATTTATAATTTTTTCCTCAAATTCACTTAGCATCCAATGCAAGTAATTAAAAAGAATAGTTTAAAAAACCACACAGTCTTTTATAAATAACTAACTAAACTAATTTTTTTAATTTTTATAAATTAGTCATTTATCCTATTTAATCATGCACACTTGAAACTACCCTTTGATTAGAAGCCTCTTAATATGCGCAATCAATGGTAGTTATTTAGGCCAAAAAATTATGAATTTGGGTGACAAAATTGTTTGAGTTCTTATATTTAGAATCAAAATAAACCCAACCCCTTGTCTAATTAGCTCTTATATTTAATACCAGAGATAGATAGGAAATAGTAATTAATAGTCATATTGTTAATGGGGTGAAAAAACAGGACCTTCCGGTGCATCAAAGAGCAGATGCCGTGAGCAGTCTGGTTTACGAGGCAAATGCGAGAGTGAGAGATCCAGTGTACGGCTGTGTAGGAGCAATATCATATTTACAAGGTCAAGTTTCACAGTTAAAAATGCAGCTTGCGATGGCTCAAACAGAGATTATGTGCATCCAAATGCAGCAAGATTATCCTTCTTCAAATCTATCACCAGCCCACCAGATTGATCCTTACCAAGACGACAAGTCCCTTATCGTATCATCTGATAATAACTACGAAAGCAATAATAATAATATTCATCAACATCATCAGTATCTCAGTTTTGCTTCTTCTTCTTCCTCTTCTAGTAATGTAATCCAAGACCCTTTTAAGAGAGAGTCATCATTTTGGAGTTAGTGAGTTCTAGACTGATTAGTATATAGTTTTTGCTCCCTCAGTGAATTAGTTTACATATTTTTTATTATTATTATTTTCTTGTTTGATTATTTTTGATTAAAAGTGTAAGCTTAGCTAGCGCTAGCTAGCTGCTGTTTGTCTATGATCTGTGTGGTTTCTTTCTTGCTGTTGACAGATAAATGACACTTAAGAATTAAGAGGGGATGTTGCGGTAAACAAGAAGGATGTACGAGTCAAATCATGCATGTGATGGGTTTGAGTAGAATTGAAGGCTTTGCAACTAGTCTCTCTCTCTCTCTTGCCCGCAGCTCTCGCTACTTAATATAAAAATTAGTTGGTATTAAATTTGATCTTAAATTTAAAAAAAAACCTCGATTTACTTTGTTTTCTAACTTTATAATCTATTCTATAAAGTGTGATATTAAGGGGTTTCTATTCAAGAATAATCATAATTAAACAGGATACTTTGGGAAAATCAATTTATATTTATTACAAATACCTAATTTAACTAATTTTTTTAATTTACTCAAACTCATTAACTAGCTCTTCTATTAAAAACTGGAGGAAGTATTTTATTTTTCTTCTTAATTCCATTAATTTATTAGGTTGATTAACTCTGATTAGGATCATTTATTAATTGATTATTATTTAATTCAACCATTCTCTCTCCTCTTTCTCTCACCTGCTTGCTCCTAAATCGGATGGCTGTTGAATATTCCTCTTCCCTTTCCCTCTATTTTTGACTTTACTCACTGGATTTTCTCTGTCTTAAAGAAATCAAGGGGGAAAATGACTATAAGTTATAACCAGAAGGAGTAAAATTAAAGGGATTCTACATGAACAATGTCTTGGAGAGTCTAAGTTCTTAACATATACTCCTCTGGTCCTATTTATAAGGTACTTCCAGTATGTTTTACACAGATCAAGGAAAACCTTAAACTTCATTAACTCTCATTTAAAATTTAATGATTTTCCAACTTTATCTCTATTTAATATACATTATACCTCATATAACCAAAGTCAACACAATAATAAATTAAGGGTAAAATTATATATCCATACAAAAAAAATCTTTCAGTGCCCTATAAATAGGATCAAAAAATATCTTCATTCTCTGCCCTATAAATAGGACCAGAGGAGTATTGGACAATAATCTATAATTTAAACAAAAGTAAGCTATTATTATTGATAAACTTGCACCGTATATACCTTTACATACAAGTCATGTTACTCGTAAGCGACAAAATTAAAGAAAAACCCTAATGCAAGAAAAGCCCTAGAGCCACTACTTAAATTAAATTAAGAAATAAATTAACCTAGACAAAATAGAAGACTCATGCCTCTCCACATAGAATAGAAATATGATGTGCCTTACAACGGACACCTGACATTATAAATTAAATAGGGAAAAAATATAGTATAACACATGAAATAAACAATTATAAACCCTAATAGTAAAAAACTCCAGTCTGCGGTGCAAGCGTCACCAATTAGAATACTTATAAGTAGTATAATCCTCAAAAAATATTTCATTGATCCAGTGTATCTCAAGCAAATATTTAATTTATTTCTCAATCTAGATTATGATCATCTGGTATCGTCAACCGCTTGCTCAGTTGGAACAATGAGAATGAAGAGCTTCAATAACTTGTATAATCTGTTTTGTTTCGCTTTATTTTCCCACTTACATTTGGGTTCCAAGTTGATTCTCTGAATAAAGATAACAGCCATGAACGATGCTGTAAGAGACAAGTTTAGCTCAACAAAATGGCTGGTAATGTTTTGTATTTTGGGGCAATTTGGTATTTTTACACATTTTTCCCATTTAAGAACTTATGTAATCCAATATTGGTTTCTAAAACTACTGAACACATGGACCAACTTAGCTTGTAGGAATTGTTCGAGCATAATCAAAGGTCACAGGTCCAATCCTTAAAAATACAGCAGCGTAGGTAGTAGAGTTGCTGCCTGAAAAGGTCTTATCATGACCGGACTAGGATTGATCTGATTTGTAATTCCCTTAGGCGGGACTGTAAGTGTTCACGCCCGGGGGTTGGAGTTCCTATAGGGGGAATGAACTGTGATTTTGCACAACCAACCAGATATGACAAGTGCATGGAATAAGCTACATATTTTCCTTTTTCCCTCGATTTTCACTTTACCGAACTTTGCAGAAGTTGATTAGATGTTGTTTTCTTCAGTCATTTTCCAGTTCCAAACTAAAATAGGGATCAAGTTTGACAGGCCTAAAATGTTGGGCTTGATGGAAGTGGGTGGAGATAATGGGCCGTTGTTTGAGGATTGGACCCATTGATTTAAAGGGAGAATGACTTATGCGGACCACTGTAACCATGACAGAATATCCCCTTTGAAGCTCACCCGCAGCCGGCGCTGGAGCTCCAGCACTGGTGAGTGCCGCCAACAAAGGGTTCTCGCTTTTTTTCCACTGTAAAAGAGAAGAGCATTTGTGTCTTTTTATTTCTCCTTGAATTTTATAATTCTGTTTTGGAATCTCATTTCTTATGGAAATTTTACAGTTTCACTGTACCTTTCTGGTATTTTATATTTTTTAGTTTTTTTTTTCCTTATCATATTCCTTAATTTTTCTTAACAAATTTATGGGGTCATAAATATGGTGGTACTTGTTTTTACTTACTTTTTAATTTATTATTGAGCCTTGGAAATTGGGGTTTTTTGAGTATAAAAGGGGCTTTTGAGCTGACACTAAGTGCCTGTTTGGTTGGGCTTTGGCTGTAAGCCCGATTGGAATTTTGGGTAGTGTTTGAAGGGGCTTCAGCCCAATTTCAACTCATTTGAAATAAGCCCAAAAACGTGCGTTGCTGGAGAAGCTGGATTTTGTAGCTTACTAAAGAGCTTATTATTGCTTTTAACTGTTGTGATGTGTCAAAGGCAAATTTTCTCATTTCTGCCGAAGCCTTTTTTCTCTCACTTCCGCTCATATTCCCTCATTTCTGCCAGAGGCCATGATAATAGAGGCTTTTTTTCCTTTGTATAAAGCCTTTTCATCTGGGCAGATTTTTTTGGTTTTGAAAATTACGAAATTGGTGTCAGTCTTTTCAATACTGTATTTTCATGTCTGGATGGTAGGCAATTATTTATTTTCAGAAGGTAAAAATATTTTTTTTTATCATGTTTCATTATTTATTAAAACTTATATCCATTTTGTTCATTTTACAACTAAACTTATTTTTACTCAACCATAATCCAAACAACCTTTTACTAATCTCACTTTTGTAAACTAATTTTTTGGAATTCAAATCCAAACACAATTCAGCTTATCCAATTTAACTTTTGTCTAACTTCACTTTTTCATAGGCCAAATTCACAATAAGCTATTTTTCAATCGCTGTTCCAAACGGACCCTAACAAAGTTAAAAAATAAGCTTGAGTTTGTACACATTAGAATATATAATTTTTTGTTAAAAAATTAAAGTAAAAAGAATTAATCTACTAAACTATCTAAATTAGATCTAGACGGTGTACTGTACTGTCCGCAATAGTGATGAGCTTTTGCTGCTCATCGGCTCCCTGAGCACCGAAACTCTTCTTCCAAAACAGAAGCCAAACCCTTATTTGGAACCCAATCGTGTAAATTTTATGTTTAGGGAAACTAATAACTATGCTACCCATGGTTGTAGCTAGAAAAGACTGTATTTTAGGATTATACCAATATCTTTCATCATCATAAACTATCTTTTTTTAGAATGAGTTCAATATACTTGGTCATAAATCACCTTATAGTCTAAGATGGTAACTGATAAGAGATTTGGCTAGCTTTTGTTTCTATCTTGTTGAACTTGGTTTGATTTAATCATTAATTGCTATCCAATTTCCATATAAAAAAAAACAAAAACATAACGTGGCAGAGACGTCACGTGTTGGTTGAGGCACATGATTGATCACGTGGCTCTCGTGTGCATGAAACACCAATAATTGTAGAAGGGGAATGGCGAATCACACCATTCCGACCTCTGACTCTTTCCTTTCATTATTTGCCAATTTTGCAACTGCCCCCCTCTATTATAACTATTTGCTAATATCTAGGCTCAATCATTCTTATTGTTTTTTTTTTTTTTAAATTTCCCCCCAATCATCTTTCCCATTTAGTTGGCAGGTGTGGTAGTAATAATTAAGAGAAATTGAATTTCAGTGCTATGAATAATGTGTTGTTAATACCCTCCATTCTTTTTTTTTTTTTTGGAAATAAGAGTAATTTCTTAAGATTTATAGATACAGATACCAAGAAAAGTAAGTAAAGCTTGTTGATATCTCAAAAACATTTAGTTTCTTTTTTAGTTCTGCTCTTCATTAAATGTTATAATTTTGTACTTTCACTAACTCGAAAAGCTCCTTCCATCTTTAATATAAAGCCCACTTTGCAGTAAAAAAAGTCTTATATTAAAAATAAAAAGAATTCCTTCTTCTTCTTCTTTTTTCCCCAATTCAGCATTTACTAGTGGTATATCAGGAGACATTTTCTAATTATTCTTAGAATTGTGAAAATGTTCTTATAAAAATGGAGATTTTATGCCTGTCAGATCAATTGACTTTAATAACAGTTAATAGCTTTATAATCTAGTGACATAAAATCTTTCTGTAAAAAATAAAAATGCGTGTTTGTTTCCACTTATAACATCAAACCTTTAATACTTAAGCCTCTCAGAAAAACGGGGGAAAAAAAAACGAATGAAGTAATTTGTAACCAATATTCTTGGGAGTATTTTTTCACACGGTAAGCCCCATCTTAATTTTGATCAGCATCAAAATTTGTTTAAAAATCTTTTTAGAATTAATTATTTATTGATATTGCGATGTTATTTGCAATTGCATGAACATCTTTTTTTTTTTCTTTTTTCTTTTTTTGCCAAAAAAGTTTCACGCACATCAAAACCTTGGTAATCACTAATAAAAACTAATCTAGGTTTTTTTATACAATTAAATACACTCATGCACGCATTGAACACACTCACACTTGCAAATATGTCAATACCATACTCGAGTCTAAGACCTCATTCAATCATAAAAAGATAGTGCTACTATTAGAACAACTTGCTATTGACAAAGCTTGATGTAGTAGCTGACAAATATATGATTCATATTTTTCTAGAGAATGAATTTAATTTTGATCACTGATTTGATGGGAATAGTTTTTTCGGGACCTCCTTTGGTTCTTTCTTTAATTTTTCATTCAAAATTTATTTTCAGTTTTATCAATTGTTTTATTCTGTGATTCTTTCATTCCTTATCTTAATTCTTTTCTTTCTTTTTTTTCATTTCCTTAGTTTTTTTTAATATTTTTAATTCTGATTGTCACCTAACTTGGGTAATGTGAAGTTCTTATTAATAAAGAATCTATAAATAATAGAGATATTTTTATAAGTGTTCTTTGAACTGTAAATTAAAGGTCCCAGTTTAATTTAATTATCTGTCATAGCAGGGAAAAAGAATAAAGGGATAAATTCATGATACACAAGAACTGTTTCACAGTAACATCATAATTCAGCGTTTTATGCACACATATTGTTTTTATTATTTATTTATTTATTTATTGCTTTCCATTATTTTCTGAGAAGTGAAGGGCTGCAATTAGTAATATATATACTCTTTCGGTCCTAAATATAAAATTCATTTTGTAAAGTAATTTACACTATTTAGTACAGAAGGGAATTGGGATGTCATGGCTTCAGTAGAATAATGCAGAAATTCAGAGTATGTTTGTTTTATTTTGGGTTCCGTTTCTGGATTATAAGCTGAATAGTATAACATATTTGTCTTGAAAATGTTAAAACTATTTTAACATCTAAAAACAAAATGAATTATTTAAAAGTAAATAAGAAAATTTATTTATACGCATCATAGAAAAAACCTCTTGTTGAGATTAGAGCCTCTTGTTTGAATAAGTGTAAACAAATTAAAGTATTATGTTAGGATAGTAGCTTTTAAATTTCAACTTGAAGGTTTGAATAAGTATGCTGGCATTTGCTGTAGTCAAATCCTGTGTTAAAGTAGGAAGCATTTATGATTTAGGATTTAATAATTTACGGATCTTTTTATGGAATTTTCCCTTGTTTTAAAACCTAAAATATTATATTGCATATACACTCTCAATCGAAAAGAAAGTAGAAAAGCTACTACTCCGACATAACAGTGCCTTTCATCTTTGATATAAAACACATTTGACTAGTTTTGAAAGACTGAAAGAGCTAATTAAATGGTTTAATTATAACATATATTAAATGATTTTTCTGAAATATTTATGTGCATTATTACATTATATACCGGTAAATAAAAATATTTTAAAGTAATATATTTAACTTTTTACTGTTCTGAAATTAACCAATTAATTTTATATTTAAGATCGGAGGTAATAATTGATTTATACTCTAGACTTATTCAGAGCCTCTTGTTGATCAAATTACACAAAGACAACCATATCTGTATATACTACAGTATATGCAAAATAAAATTATTTATTTCTATTTTATTCAATGATCTTATTTTTTATATTTTAGATAATCATCTACTGTTATTTCTAAATTCAAGCGTTGTTAGCTTTTTATATATCTATATGTGTGTGTGCTGGCAACAAAAAAAAAGTGTGTGTATGAGAGTAGTTAAATGATTTTTTTTAAAATCAAAATGTACAAATAGTATATACATTTTCAAGCTCTGACCATGCCTCTGAATTTTAGTTTGCTGCTGCCACTACCCCTCTTGCCAATCAAGTGGAGGCTGCATGATTGCGTTTGCATGCTCGCTCACACCATATAAATACCCTTTTACTCCCTTCATTTCCCTCCAGAATCGAGCCTCCAATACAATCAAGGGCGGCAACTATTCCTCTTCCGTTGAAGGCTAAGTTCACCTACTTCGAACGACCATGGGCAGCATCAAGATGGAGGAATCTCCAGTGTGCCACGTGGTGGCCATGCCTTACCCCGGCAGAGGCCACGTCAACCCCATGATGAACCTCTGCACCATGCTGGCTTCTCGAAAGCCAGACGTCATCGTCTCCTTCGTCGTCACCGAGGAATGGCTCGGTTTCATCAAGTCGGAGCGAAAACCCGACAACGTCCGGTTCGCCACTATACCTAACGTTATTCCGTCGGAGTTGGAGCGGGCCAAGGACTTCCCGGGTTTCATGAATGCCGTGTCCACCAAGATGGAGGCTCCGTTCGAGGAGCTTCTGGATCGGCTTGAACCGCCGGTGACCGCCATAATCGCCGACACGAAGCTCGTGTGGTCTATTGGCCTTGCGAATCGTAAGAATATACCCATCGCTTCGCTTTGGCCTATGCCTGCTACTGTTTACTCGCTGCTCTACCACTTTGATATGCTCAAAGAGAAGGGCCATTTTCCCATTGATATCTCAGGTCTGTCATCATTTATTATGTCCAATAGAGAATTTTAAATACTATATATATATTATTTATATTATTTTATCCTTCATTAACATGAAATGGATAGGAGATGTTATATTGAATTAATTTTTCCATTCGTGTTAAACGCTTCAAAGTGATTATATGTATAAGCGTCCAAGTGAATATATGCACACATAAAATAAAACACACTTGCAAGTTTTCCAAATGATATAAATCAAATTATATTTTTATTTAAAAATTATAGAGATCTAACCTTTTTTTATCTTAAAATATACATGAATATATTCTGAAATTAAAAGAAGGGGCCTGTGTACTTTGAATTTCTTTTATTTTCAATTGAAATTTGTCTGAGTTTTGACAATAATACACATATCTACATAATTTGAACAAAAGATTAAAAATGTGACTTGAAAATTTAAATATTTGAAATAATATTATAATTTTAATTTCTATAAGCTGAATTTCTTATATTCACAAAAATATATGTATATATAATACATTCATGCATAGAAATGATGAAAATATATGTGGACGAAATTCAAATTATTTTTTATTATTTTAAAAATAAAAACTTTATGTTATTTTAATGAAATTGAGAGAACTAGTTTCCTCTAAACCATATTTGAAGGTATACTTTCAGAAGGGAAAATTAAAGCCATATACTTCTTTTCTTTTCATATGATAAAAATGTTGTTTTAATTATGTATCAGAAATGGGAGATGAAATTGTAGACTACATCCCCGGATTGGCCCCAACACAGATCAGAGACCTCCCAACTGTGCTTCACGGTCAGGATTTGAAACTCCTCGAACGAGCCCTAACCACCGTCCGATTAGTCTCCACCGCACAGTACCTCATGTTCACCACCGCCTACGAGCTCGAACCCGAAGCAGTCGACGCTTTACGATCCAAATACAACATCCCCGTCCTCCCCGTCGGCCCCAGCGTCCCTTTCTTCAAGCTCACCGCCACCACGGCCACCGCCGCAGCCGCCGACCCCGACTACTTCAAGTGGCTCGATTGCCAACCAGACGCCTCCGTCCTCTACATCTCTCAGGGAAGCTTTCTCTCCGTTTCAAACAACCAAATGGACGAGATCGTCGCCGGGATCAAGAACAGTGGAGTCACCTACCTCTGGGTGGCGCGTGGAGACACCAGCAATCTTAAAGACAGGCTTGGGGACAAAGGCATGGTGGTACCATGGGTTGATCAACTGAAGGTTTTATGCCACCCGGCCATCGGAGGTTTCTGGTCACACTGCGGGTGGAACTCGTCCCTCGAAGCGGCATTTTCCGGCGTGCCGGTTCTGACGTATCCGATATTCTGGGACCAGGTCCCGAACAGCAAGAGGATAGTAGAGGAATGGAAGAGTGGGTGGAGGGTGAGGAAGAAGATAGGGTTAGAGAATAGCCTGGTGAGCAGAGAAGAGATAAGTGAGCTTGTGAGGAAGTTCATGAATGGTGAAGACGATGAGATTAAGGACATGAGGAAGAAGGCTAAAGGGCTTCGTGAGGCTTGTTTGAAGGCTGTGGCTCCTGGTGGGTCATCTCAGCTTAATCTGGATGCTTTCATTGAACATGTTTCTAAGCTCCAAGTCAACAACCGCAAGTAAATTAAATTAGAAGAGATTGATCAGATTGAAACTGGACTTGATTTTCTAATAAATTGAAGGGGAAAATAATGCATTATTAGTGAGGAGATCAAATAAATGGTTTAAACAAGGATTATAGCTTCTTGTTAGCTTGTTTGTCTGAGTATTTTTGTATGGTTTGGTGGTTTCTATGTGTTAAATTTTGAGTGCCAGAATTAAAATCTGGAAAAAAATAGATATTATTCGTCTTTCCCATTTACATTGTACCACTAGTGATGATAAAGGAAACAAAGAAATAAGTCTCTGATTTAAATGCACGCGCGCATCCACGTTGATACATTATTATGCAGTGTTTTACTATTTTCTAGAGATTTATATGTCATTATATGAATACTCCCCGGTTCGTTTTTATTTAATTTTTCATATTCGAGAAAAAGAAGTTTTGTTTCTATATCTATCCGCCATTTTAGAAGTTTACGAAGACAATAATTGTTATTTCTTCAATTATACCCTTACCTTGGCTTAAAAAAAAAAACGCTTATCTTTGACACGGTTCTCAATCAAAGAAAACAAGTTATAATTAACGAGGACATATTAGAAAATTTAAAGAAATTATAACATAATAAATATATTTATTATTAAATTATGAAGAGATTTATCTCTCCAAAAACAGCTTAAATAATATTCAAAGCTAAAATTTCTAAAATTAAGGACCTATTTTCTTGGAAGATTCCAGAAAAATATTTACAAGTTTATTCTTGGCCTGAAAATTTTAGAGAATAAACTATCAAGAATTAATTTGTGTTTGGTGTTTTCATAATAATAGACAAGGGATGAGATTGAAGAAAGAATACGATTAAAGGGCATAACAGTCAAAAGACCCTCTTTCATTTTCCCTTCACAGGACCTGAACAGAGCGAGAGGGAAGCTGAGAGGAAGGGAGAGCGAGAGCAGACAGAAGAAGAACGAAGGAGGAGCAAGAGAGAGATCCTTCGCATGCAACGCTAGTTTTCAGCTGAGGTAAGCCTCCTGAACATCCTCCTGCCCTTCTTTCTTCCATTTTCTGCGTTTTGAAAAAGATAATAATGGTTTAAAATTCTGGGTTATAGAGGAAAATAGTAATTAAGCAGAATATTAATGGTAGGAAAGTGTGGACAGAAGCTTGATCATGTAAGTTATGTTGTTGCATGTTCTTGTCTTGCTCTGTTTTGGGGTTGCCGTCATAGGGATTCATTCGTCTGGGGAGAAAGTAGTTTTGAAATCTGCAAATATTTTTCCAGATTATAGAGGAAATAACGATGGACGAAAATTCTTTTAAAAGAGATAGAGAGTTGAACAAAGTTAAGATGATTTTTGAATCAGTCGTGGCGATCCAGAGGCATTTTGCCGCTTCTCTCTATAAAAATTTTACAAGTTTCTAAATGTTGGTATAAGGCAGAGTATCTCAAGTCACTTTGGACTTGGACTAATCTTTGTCAGGCAGAGTTAAGGTTTAAGCCTTCCAATAAGTGTATTTCTCAGAATTCGAATTTATATTCTTCTTTTTATGAGGTAAGATCGTTTATCATCTCAACTAACAATAGCCTTTTGGTTACAAGTTTCTAAATGTTAAATGGTAGGTTATATAGTTAAGATCCATGTATGAATTATGAGGCTGCTTGCTTTTGAGGGGTTAAGAAGCTAATTAAGAATCTGGAGAATTCCAGATTAAGGGTGTTATTCGGTTTTCATTAAAACTATGGTTAGATGTTTTTTTTTTTAAAAAAAAAGAAATTTAACTGTTTACGCATGCTTGTTGATTATAAATGGAATTTCATTGGCATATATGAAGGATCCCGGCTATGAGGAAGAATTCAAGGGAAAAAGTGAAATTTCATAATTCTGAGATTTAAAATGAGTTACTCATGGGAAAATTAAGTAAAAATAGTCTAAGGGTAGAATCTGATTAAGCTGGGTTTAAGAGGGGTTACTTAGATTACAAGTTATCAATGGAATAAATATTAGCCTATATATGCACATAAACGTTGGGTTTTGATATTTGTCCTCAATGGAGATGGCAAGTATGTATTTTTTTTTCCAGTACTAGTTGTAGCTATTAATAGTTACATGGATGGTAGATACTAACTTGTTTGACAAACTGGGCAAGTGCATAAGAGTTTTATATTCTAAAGATAATTAAATGCGTATTCAGCGCAGGTTATATGAATGATCTTTAGTTCAATCAAAGTATAACTGAACTGGGTCTTATATTATTTCTACCAAAAGTTTTCAAAAAGGCTTTAATATATAGTTTCGAACTACTACTGGGGCCTGGTTTTGTTGATTTAATAGTTATGGATTTTCAATGTTTCTCCAAAAATCCAATTCTTTTAAAAAGAAAAGTATGGCAAGAAATTTTTTGGAAAAAAGAATGGTTCAATTCTTATGGAAATAATTAAACATAAATGTCCAAGGGTGGCAGTGTGCAGAAGACCACATAAACTCAGATTAAGAAGGTGCTATAATTCGTAAATGTAGCTTTACTTTTTCTAAACCTTTCAGGTCCCTCTTTTGGAGCTTTTACCTGAAAAAATATTAAATAACAAGGATAAAACATTTTAGTAATCCAAATTTCTACCTATCACATACACTTGTATGAGCCAGTGAGATGTCTGGTATGATACACAATTTACGATTCTAGATTTTCAGTCAATAAATATAACATGTTTACCAGATTTATCAGTCAGTCTTAAAATAACATCACTACCAATCTTAGAGATAATATAACTGTTCACTCATTCACAAGACAATAACTCAAAAATAATTGCAATATATATTTATAATATATGTACACACAAATATGAATTTCAAGTCTAACCTTATATCTTTCTTATTTCTACTGACTAGACTTATGAACTAAATCATATCATATGATTGGTCCTTCTTACAAACTCACCACCTGAGTAATAATATCAAACAATCAAAGTTTACAGAACACCCGGTAAAAAGAACTAATGGGTGTGGCACTCTCTCGGAGAGTAGGCCAAGTACACTTAATTTTTTGTGATCCATATTTGAATATGGACAAGAAGGTTCTCTTCTCTATGATACCATTTAGTACGAAACATTGAAAATGAAAGATATGATTGTAATTGGGCTTGAGAAAATCTATTAAAAGAGCGTTTAACATAAGAGATTACTTATTACATGAGATTAGACAAATGTAAGTGGGATTAAGAAATACTGGGGGGGAAGTGGTATTTCCTAATCCTACTTTCATGAGTTTACCTAATCCCATATAACAAGCAATTACTCATCCTAAAGATTTTTTTAATGATTTTTTTTTCAATTGCAATCATAGTTTCTATCTCTTATTTTCAATGCTCTGTACCAAACTGGACCTGTATGACTTTTTGTGGCAACTTGGAAAATTCTACTTGCGATGTGACTCGAGAGGTTGCCTTTAATTGCAGCTTCCGTCTATCCCTCGTCTTTCTAAATATATTTTCTCCCGTTTCCAAATCCATTGTATTCAAATATAGATATTGCGCCTATCCCTCGTCTATTTGTCGTGCGATGAATGATGTCAAGCTTAAGCGAAGACATGCTATACGCATACAAAAATATCAGACTCATGAAAATATGGAGTTATTGATTTCAACAGTTTTGGATTTTGTTGCGATTAGCGATTTATTTTCCCGTCTTAATTAATGGTTTTTGTCTTTTCTTTTAAGAAACAATTTTATTTCATTTTCAAGCACCTTAAGGCAGGCAACCTAGATGATGTAGCAAAATTTTATGTGAATAAGTTTCATCTTGAAAAGTATGTCCATTTTGATGTTTTCTTGATAAATTTTGTATATAGATTGATTATAAGACGCACTCTTACTTTTTATGAGAACTTGAAAACCGAATTATGCCGTTTAAGGGAAAATAGTTAAAATTAATTAAAAGTAGTAAATATGTAAAAAAAGAAACTTTTTCTTTTCAAAGTATACACTTATATTATTCTTTTTTTTATTATTATAATTTGATATTATATTTTTATCTTTAAAATTGTATTTATATTAGATGCATTTTCTTTATTTAAATAATTACAAGACAAATTCTATTTTGAGGAAACGATTCTCCATAATATTACTTAAATCTTATGGATGAAAATTAGAATGTTACAATATTCATGAATATTTTTACACCTGAGAAAACATAATGATACTTTATGCGCATGGGGTAATATATTATGAGTAAATTTACATTTTAACCACGGGATTGATTATATCAAGGTAACTCTTACATATCATTGTAATGTTTTATTTTGCTATCCAAGTTAATATAATTTTAATAAATTTCATTTTTATACTAATTACATGAATATTTAAAATTATATTTTTGAATTATCAATATTGATAGTATCAGTTAGCTACGGGTCTTCCCCGAACTAATTCCCACACTACCAGTTCACAATCTCATTGAATTTTACAAATTGCATGGAATTTAGTGTTTAATTATTTGGTGAATACCAAGCTTCGAATTTGCCGACCTGTTAAGGTTATGTGAGTGTAACTTGTACAGAGTTTTGCGAGTAGTTGGGTCAAAGCACTAACGAATATTAAACTGGCTTCTCTTCTCACACACTCACACACACACACATCTATATATATATATATATATATATAGATATATAGAGCTGCTTCTTCTTCTTCACTGAGCTGAATCTTCTTCCTAGCCTCTGCAACATTTGTCACATCATCCATGGAAGTCCCACCATCAGTGACCTGCCACGTGGTGGCTATGCCCTACCCAGGTCGAGGCCATATCAACCCCATCCTTAACTTCTGTAACTTGCTTCTTTCCAACGATCCAGGCATCCTCGTCACCGTTGTTCTTACTGAAGAATGGCTCGGCTTAATCGGATCCGAAGCCCAGACCCGTAATCTCCGGTTCTGCACTATACCCAATGTTATCCCCTCCGAGAAGGATCGCGCCGTCAACTACCTCAGCTTTTTCGAAGCTGCCATGACAGTGATGGAAGCGCCGTTTGAGGCGCTTCTCCATCGGCTTGAGCCGCCGCCTTCACTCATCATATATGACACTTTTCTCTTCTGGGTTGTTGGAGTCGGAAACCGAAGGAACATCCCTGTCGCGTCGTTTTGGCCAATGTCTGCCTCGTTTTACTCTGTGTTTCAACACTATCATCTCTTAGAACAGCATGGCCATTATCCCATCAATGCATTAGGTCAGTAATATATACTTTTTTTTTTCTCACTGTCGTTTTACTCTTATTTTACAAGAAAGATTAAATTCGGAATTCATAATTCTACTGCTATGGTATAAGAACTTATATATTTTTTCTTTGGTTTTGCATGAACTCTTGAGACAGAAGTGGGTGATAAACGTGTGGATTATTTTCCTGGAATTTCCTCTACATGTTTGATGGATTTCCCTTTGATCGACGGAAGCTTTCACGGCCGGAGATTATTGCAATGGATCTTAAAAGGTTTCTCCTGTGTTCCCAAAGCACAAAGTTTATTATTCTCCACAATTTATGAACTTGAACCTGAAGCCATTCATGTGTTACAATCTGAGCTCTCTTTACCCATTTACCCTATTGGCCTTTTAATACCATATCCAAACCTCTCTTCTTCTTCTTCAACCTCTGAAGAAACCTACCTGCAATGGCTGGACAAACAAGCCTCTTCTTCTGTGCTGTACATCTCACAAGGAAGCTTCCTCTCAGTTTCAAATGCTCAGATTGATGAAATCGCAGCTGGTTTACGCCTAAGCGGTGTTCGATTCCTTTGGGTAGAACTAAAAGAGACTCGTAGACTAAGAGAGATTTGTGGAGATAAGGGTTTAGTTATAGAATGGTGTGACCAATTGAGAGTGTTACTGCATGAAGCTATCGGTGGTTTCTGGTGTCACGGTGGCTGGAACTCTTTTAAAGAAGGCGTTTTTGCCGGCGTTCCTTTCCTTACTTTTCCAATAATGGCGGATAACCATTTCAACAGCAAACTGATAGGGGAGGATTGGAAAGTTGGGTGGAGAGTGAAGAAAGATTTTGATCCTCAAAGTTTGGTAAGTAGATACGAGATTGCTGGGTTGGTGCAGAAGTTTATGGCTTTGGATGAGGAAGAAGGAAAAGAAATGAGAAAGAGAGTCAGAGAACTTCAACGTAAGTTTCAGCTTTCAATTGGAGAAGGTGGCTCGTCTGAAACCAATATCAGGGCCTTTATAGGAGATGTAATAAAGATGGGTTAGTGTGTGTGTGTGTGTGTGTGTGTGTCTATATAAAATGAAGTTTATAATACTGTAAGTTTTGTTGGAAATCTATGGAATAAATTGCGATCTTCATGATGGTTCATGAATAATGTTGCTTGTTAATTTTTAAGATTTTATTTTATTTTTTATTTTGTTGATGTCATGGTAATGCAAGTTCCTTGATTAAAAGGTTATTTTTTATTGCCCATTTGATATTGTGATATTAAACTGTGAGATTAAACTAAATATATTGCTTATTTAATCATTTTTGTAAAGAATCTTGTTTCAGAACCATTTAAGTGATAATAATAAATACATAGTCATTAAATTAAATGAACAATAATGGACGATAGTGTATAAAGATTGGAGTGAAATAGAGTGTTCATCTTAATCTAGTTCATATTTAATTTAGATTTTTTGTTTTAATATTTTGTGATAAATTTAAGAAAGATCAGCTAAGCAATTAATGACTTGGCCTCAAGTATTATTGAACGAATTTGTCCGATACATATATAGGAAAAGATAAAAGATAAAAAGCTAATATCTTGAAATTTAAATAAGGATAAAATCAAATCTATGAATATTATCAAATGTAGATGTCCATCTCCTCTTCCTCTTTAACTTCATCAACTCCCACTACTTCCACTACTCCATTACTTCTCCACTATGCCTTTAATCTTGTAACTCACCCCTACTTCACATTCATGTGGTTTATTGTCCACTATCTATCATTTAAGTAATAGTGTACCTTATATGTAAGACTATGCCTATAAATAGGGCATGCAATTGTATTGTGATGCAAGTGAAGCAAGTGAAGGAATACAATATCATTCTCTCATTTTCTTATCCACATCTCTTCTCTAATTTACTTTCTTTGTTGGTTAATTTCATAACACATTATCAGCACAAAACTATACTATTTGAGTTCATGGCTTCTAGTTGATATACGTTGATGTTTTGTTCATTGAATGAAGATAATTTGATTTGAGCAATTTGCATGAGACTCTACCGTCTGAGTTCATGGTTTCTAGTTGATGCACATTGATATTTTGTTCATTAAATGAAGATAATTTCATCCGAACAGTTTGGTAAGATTTCTCCGATTTATTTAGAGAAACTGATGGTTTTGCATATTAACATATTGATTTATTGGCAACCGAATATTTTATTCATCATATTGATATGAAAATTTTTATTTTTATTTCTTACTTTTCTTATATTTTCATGATCCTACTATCCTTATACTTCTTGATTTTCCATGAGGTTTATGTTCATCTATAATATTACTATATATGATTATCATCTCCAATATTACTTAATTGTTGTATCAGAAAGTAAAATGTTAAATATATAAATAAATAGCTAATAGCTATATTACTCTTGATTTTGTGATTAGATGGCTAAAAGTCACATCACGTTTTAATGATTCCTTGATAAAAGATCATCTTGTTGTTGTAACAGATGGAATGGCAAGATCGTCACAATTTGATAATCTATATCAAAGTCCTGAAAATTGATGGTTTAAAAATTAAACGATACAAAAGAATTTTGTAGTTCTACTATTGAAAGTAAGGAATATATCCATAAGAGTGATAAAGAATATGATAACATTGTATTAGTGAAACTGATAACTAAAAAGACAATAATCTTAGGGCTTGACTATTGAATCATAACATAAGAATTAGTTATAGCCCTATAATCAATATGATAAAATTATGAACAAATGTTATAATATGAACAGAAGTCATGTAGACAAATATGTATCAATTCATTGAAAAGCAAATGTTAAAAAAAAATGGTTGTGGAATCAAAAAGACCATATAATATTATGAAAATATCGAAGGTAATTCTAATACTTGAAGGAAGATAAGTTATGAAGAAAGATAGATGCCCAAAATATATATAAAAATAGAAAACATATAAAAAAAGTTACTAATTATATTTTTTATTTATATCTTATTAATATGATCTGATTCAATATTAGTTTTAAATATTTTAGATGTCTATAGTACCTTGATTAATATTGAGAAGTTTTGACCGTTATTTTTTATTTGTACTTTATTTTCAAAAGTTTATTTTTAAATGTTCTTTTATATTTTTGTGTATTTTCTATGTGTATTGCAAGTTAAATCTGTGATACTTATAATTATTTATTATTATGTTAACGATATATTCAAATAAAGTTGTGTTTCATATTCCTCTTAAATTATATCGTTCTTGAAGAACTATATGTAATAGTATTAATATGATTCCAGAAGAATTAATACTGATTTTCCTTTATAAATAGATAAAATATTGATAGTGAAAAATATGACCTATAATCTACATCATAACTTTGGTTCCCCAAAGAGTGTAAATGTTATAGCACAATTGGAATAAAGTTCGTAACTATATGAATTAGGAAGTACTTGGGCTTTCAAGCAAAAAATAGGTTATTGGCCTTAGATTATTGTATGCTCGTAACTGTTTATGAAATATATGAATAAAGGAATCATATTTGAATAACTCATACCTGAGGAGGAGAGTGTTAGAATACAAGTATGAGTTGTTGGTTAAAAAAAAAACATGGTATGGTAAACCACAAGTTTACTAATCTAATTAGATTTATTGTTAACATGACTTGTTTGATAATCTTGAACTATATGATGCAACAAATTATTGAAGATTATGTATTGATATCCATTGAAGAACCAGAAGATTTTTTTGAATAGCCAACATTTTTGAGAATTTGTATGTACTGTTTGTTCTCAAAGAAAACTGATTATAAAATATCACTAGTTATGTTTTGTTTTGGAATGGATCACTATATTTCTAGAAATATATTAAACTCACATATACGGGCCCATTTAAAAGCACACAAGCCATACAAGTATTCAATATTTGATAGATGTATCTATATAAAATGGTAACATATGTGATTGACATTAGTTTGCAACCTGACGTTTGTAAGATTATTTAAATAAATATTTCCAGACTATGTGATCTTAAAACTTGATTTTAAAGATACTAATGAATTTATATATTAGGCTTTTAATGTTGAAAAGCCTGCTTAATAAATTGATCTAGCAAAATCATTTATTAATGCCTCTGTGAATGGCTGGATCAATATTTATGAGAACAAGTTTTTGTCATTTTAGTTTTGGCATATTAATTTAATATATTGCAATACTTATACATATTAAGGCAACAAAATTCTCCCAATAAAATGGCTTTTAGTCAAGAGCCAGATATTTTTCATCTAAAATTTGAAATGTGCAATATTTATTCCTGTTAATCCACCATACTGCACATAGACGGATATTTAAAAAAAATTGGGACATATGTTGGGTAAGAACCTCCTTCTTCTTGATTGTCTCTAAATGGAACAAAATAATATTCCTAAAAGAAGCAAATGGATTTAGGAGACTTATACTGCATAATTAGTTGATTGTTATTCGACAAAATTTTCCTAATACAAGGGGGAGAAATTGAGTAGCTGAAAAAAAAAACGCATGGAATGCATTATTACTATCAAATATGGATCATCAAATATATCAGTATGGACCAGAAGTTCATCAAAATTGCATTCATGAAATGCTACAAAATATTTTATTGACCTGAATGAAAATTTTTAAATCTCTTATTTCAGCTGAAAATACTCCAATTAGTATAAATAAAAATGAGACATGCCTGAAGCATAAGAGGTTAAGTAGTTCCAATATAAATATATTGAATAAAGAGGAGCATACAACTTAGAAGTTGTATTGAGGAGGCATGTACTTTAAAAGAGTGTCAAGACATAACTAATTGTAAAACTCCAGAAGAGGTTCAGGTGCCTCAAAAGGAAGAAAAAGATCTCAACAAGTTATGTCACAAAAGGAAAAATGGAACCAAAAAGGTAAAGTTGTCGACAATGATTTTCATAAAAATATCAAGTGATAAAAAAAGGATCTTACACATAGATCTATCATATAAAGTAGACATAAATTTGGACAAAAATAAAAGTAAAAAGAAAAAGATGTGATGAAAATATTATTTCGATATATAAAAATGGACCTACAACCAAACACATGAAATATAAAGTTTCTATAGAATATATGAAAGTTTATGTGAAAATAAAGATTTTCACAAATAATTATGATGAACATATTACTTTATAGTGGATATAATTTTACATATTTGAATAGTTTGGCAGTTATGAAATGTGCCTGTTAGATATTATTATGGCCCATGGATGATGATTATTAAATAGTAAAATTTACATGATAATCCTTGAATGATCCAAAATATGCTAGGAGCATATATAAGAAAATCTTTTAGTATATGAAATATCATAAATATTAAAATAATTTCAATATGTATCATCTATTTTATAGTTCTAGATCAAAATATATATATATATGAAATTCCCTAAAGAATTTCACTTGCCAAAAGCATACAATTCAAGTTCTTAAGAACAATAGTTAAGTTAAATAAGTTGCCAGAAGTAATCAGGATGTATGTGGTATAATCGACTAAGTAAATATCAATTGAAGAAATAATATATAAATAATCTAATTCGCGCATGTATTTCTATGAAAAGCTTTTTAAAATGAGTTTGTTATAATTTTTATTTGTATTGATGACATAAATATTATCAGAACTCTTGAAGAGCTCATAAAAGCTATAAATTGTTTACAAGAAAGAATTTGAAATGAAAGATTTGGGAAGAACAAAGTTTTTTCTCGGATTGCAAATTGAATACTTGAAAAATGAAGATTTTTATGTATCAAATAATTGACACAATAAAAGTCTTAAAGTGTTTTTATATGGATAAATCACATCCATTATATATTTTGATGGTTGTGAGATTTGTGGAGGTGAATAAAGAACCTTTTAGATTTCGAGTGATAAAGAAATATTTGGTCTAGAAGTACCAAATCATAGGTCTAGAAGTACCATATCATATCTTATCAATCACTCATGATTTGACATATTATTTGCTGTGAACTTATTACTAAGGCATAATTCTTCACCAAAAA